GTGGGGTAAGGGTTAAGTTCAGCACACTCACATTTTCATTCTAAAAACTGTTACGCTACAGGTTGCAGCTTTGAAATTGATAAGCTAGTGAGGGCAAGAGGGTAGATAAAAGCTCATTTTGAGCTTGAGATTTTTATATATGAAAATAAGCTCATGCTATGTGCCTAGGTACACATGCATAGATCAAGTTCTTTTTAGGGACACGGTTGAGGATGAGGCATGGAGCTTTCAGCCGCTACAAGCAGTGCCCTCTTGTGACTGCAGGCGGCAAGGACGGCCCCGGCGGGACCCTTAATGCCCTCGCTGCAGAGCAGGTAAGGAGGCTCAGCCCATGCTGATTCTTATGCTTAAAATAAAATAAAAAACATGAAATAACTACCTTACTGTGTAAGTACACCAGACTAGCTAGTACAACACTGTACTCATTACTTCTTAAACTCATCAAAACCTGAGCCCCCACGCCCCCCCTCAAGAAACAGAGAACCAGAAGAATGATGATTTTAATTAGTATTCATAGAGAGCACATCACACATGCCTTTCCAGCAGCAGCTCATTTCTCTAACATTATTGAAAAGGAAAAAAAAGTTAAGGCCACTCCCGGGCAACCTGATACAAGTGTTTCCCTAACCAGCTCTCGGAGACAGCAGCTGTACATTTAAGAAACCACTGGTGCACAAAACATGGGATGTTTATTTAGCAAAATCTCAAGAGCACAGCAGAACATGCTTTGTTACAATGGTAAAAATACACTCAGCCTTCGAGGCTGCCGTTTACAGCGACTCAGTTCTCAAAACATAATATTCTTATTTAGAACATATTGTGCCTTAATGTCGTATTAGCCAAGCTATCATTAGGGACATGGTTACCAAATTCATCTACTCAGCAGAGTATAAAGTGCACAAGAAAAATAAGTGCGTTAAAATGAACCAAACAGTTAAGATTATGAATAATTCCCATTACAGATAGTACTTGCTTAAATTGGAAATCTCTCAAGCCTATTTTGTAAAACCCAGTATTATGTTTTCAAGTGCACAGAATCAGTGTCACAGGTGCGTTAGAAAGGCCTCAGCTGAACACAGGTATTTCCTCATCTCCCAAGGGTGGCAGCACCCAGCACCCACGTATCTGTGCAAGGCTGCTCGTAACCAGCACCTTCTCTGCCCTAGGTTCAAAAGAAACAGCAAGTACTGCAGCAATTTGTTCAGTTGTGCATTTTGACCTTCCATTTTACTGATTTGTGGAGCAGGGGCAGGTGAAGAGTCAAGTAGAGGGGTGCAGTTTTGCTCCCTTACTCTAAAAAGGGACTTTACATTTTTGCAGGCTGTCAGGAACTGCGTTTTGTTTGATTCCCTAGTCGTAGTTTAAGGCCATTGTTAGCTATGTTTAAGAGCTGAACAATAACTAGATTACTTCCTTTAAACACTATTAATTTATGATTATATGTACCATTAAAAAAATAGTTAAGAACAGAGGAGGAAGGTTCCCAATTGCACTAAACATAGAAGTTAAGGGTTTAGTCACTGAAATCTTTGGACGTTACATTCAAGAGCAGTGGATGCTTTAAAATACAGACTCCTTTTCCAAAAATAGCTTATTCAACTCCCCTACAATATATTCCAAAGCCTAAAGAGTTTTTATTACTTTTTTATATAATGTTTTGCAGGTTGTCTGTCACAGTGAAATAGTTTTCTGACTGAATAAACCCTTCTAAGATAGGAAACCAGAATTTGTTTCCAAAGCACTTTGCATACACTGCCAATCTCTAGTCTGATGCAGAAGCACACCATAAAAATATTAGAAGCTTTTTGGATTGAAAGGAAAAAGACTCATGGTCAAAATCCACTTTTTTTTTTTTTTAACCCTATAAAAGACATCTCTACCTTCAATAAATAATCACATAGCCACATACTGTTTGCAAAGCTACACCATGTTTTGCAATAATACAAAGTAGTACAAAATTCAGGTAGTATTTTACTGCCTGCACTTCAAAATACAGTATTAGTCACCAAAAAGTGTGTGCAATAATACATTTCAACTCTGTCAGTTTTTCCGCAAGTTCTCCATGTATGCCACAGCACGAGTTCAAACATCTTCTTTTCCCTTTTAATCAAAGGCCAAAAGCTTGGAGGCAAGGAGCCAAGCAGACTGTTTATACTTATGCATTATAATTCACTTATACTAACAGAATATGCAGGCAAAAAACATGGGGTCATGAGGTGGGTCAACAGTTGTGAAAAGGGGTGGTTTATATTTTAATACAAGATCATTCATCTAGACAACTTGAAAGTGGCTGCCAAGCCCAATTCTCCCCCTCTAGTCACAGCAGCTTCAGAGACTGTCTCCAAACTGGAAACAGGCGAGCAGGGGTAAGAACACCTGTAACTAACTTCAGTTGATCTGTGAAACTATAGGGAGAGAGGGTATGAAACTTGAAAATAGCCCATGCAAAAATGAATGCGGAGGGAATCTGGAGGGAAAGAAAAATGCCCAGATATTCAACGCTACTCTTGTTTTTAACACAGTGCTTGCTGATTTTGTAAATTGTTTATGCTTGCTTCTTGTTCATAAGGGGATGCTGCTTTCAACTACAGAGTTGAGACATGATGGGGCTAGAGGGATGAATGTATTGAACAACAATGTTGTAGGTAATGCCTTAGAAAATATTTATTTGTAACTATTCTTCCCCCCCCACCACTTTGTTTTGACAAGGCTCCTTTTGCTTGTTTGCTTAAAAGTTTAAAAGTTCACTTAGGATAACCAGAGCTACGGCCAGACTTCCTCTTCAAAGGAGGGGACGGTACTAACCTCAGCTCAGGTCACATGAATGTTCTCTAGACCACTGAGTGAATACAAGCTGGTCTAGCTAAGATACTCTTGACAGATGAGTCTCTTTTTGGTTAATTTTCCCCTGGAGATGCTGCTGTGGCATCTCTGACAACAGACCTAAGCACCAACAGCTTCTGCTCCTGAGCAGGATGGTACAGAGCCAATGCACAATAACTCTTTCCACTGACATTTGCAGAATCCATCACCTACAGCCTTCCTGGAATTTTTCAGGAGAGCAGTCAAGGGCCCTGTGGGGTAGTGAAACTAAAGACTGGGAAGTTTTACTCAGGAGCACAGGCTTTATAAATGAGGTGCAAGTGACCATGGAAGCGAGGAGCCTATTAGAGGCAAAGCAACATTGATACTTACTTCAAAAACCTTCCCTGCTCTTCAAAGTGACAAATTAAGAGCGCATTTCATCCAGCAGCCACTGGAAGAGACTGGTTCTCATCACGCCGCTTTGCTCTCTCGGAGCTGACAGGTTTAGTCCTTCAAGGGTAGTTTTCAACTCTTGTTCTACACTGCCCTGTGGTAAAGTACGTCTCCCAATAAATATTAAAGTTTTTCAAGAACCACAAAGTAACCACATTTTCCACAATGCCGGATCAGTCTCCATTGTCATTAAAACAGCAGATCAAGGTGGGTTTTCCTGTTACATTTTATGACCTTTCCTTCTACAGACTTGATCCTAAAGAAGAAGTATTCAATACAAAACATCTTAGAATTGAAAATGTACAGCTTATATATATATATATATGCAATTTATAACTTATTTGTACAATCAGTTTTTTCTGTATGCACATATATGTGTGTGTGTGTTCCACTAATCAGTGTAGACAGTAAAAAGCTACTGTCATTTCATTGCAAACTGGAACCAACAGACAATATTTTACATTGATACTTTTTTTTTTTTTGTAGTCTTCCCAGTTAGTTTTCAGTAGCTATTTGGTATCAGGTAAAACTACTTTCATTTCTGGTTTCATCTTTTCAGGCAAAGCTTTAATACTCATTAGTAAATCCAAAAATAAGAGGAATATATAATATCTATTTTTCTCCTGGTAGTAGCTTAACATATATATATATATATATATATAAACAAACATATATATATAAACAAACAAAATATATATTTTGTTTATATATATATATAAACAAAAAACAGCCCTCTATTTTACTAAGGACTAGAGCCCACTTCAGTAACATTCCCTGAGGCAATCTATATTTTGTTGTTTTGTCCTCTAATCATTTGTATATATTTGCTGTTCTGTCCCAATCTTTGTTTCTTTAAAAACAGATCATTAGAAAAAGACATGTTAACTTCCATTTCTAAATATCAGCAGTTATGCTTCCCCTTAACACCCTCCACTTCTTTTTCCCCTCCCCAAATCCTAAACTTAACAGATGCCAAATCTGTGTGCTCGGTTTGCACCAAAAAAGTTACATTTTTACATGGGTATCATCTACAAAGATGACATCTTTACAGGTTTTTTTAAAAATGTGAATGTATGAACTGAAAAGTAATGTGGGAGTAGATTGCTTCAGAACTAATATGCAATGAATCATTTAAAATGTGGTCTACTAAAGCAGAAGTTTTTCTCTCTTGAAGGCAGTTAATCTACAGTGCTAAAGGGCTAAAGGCTGGGATGGTGGTGGCAGGGCACAGGTGCTTGGGACGGTGGAGAATGACCAGAAGAGATCCAGCATCCTTAGTGCAAAGAAATAAACCGAGTGAGAACAGAGTATTTTTACATTCTCAAAGGACTAGGGAGGTTTCTCCTGACAATTCCACCTCTAATTAAAAAAAAAAGTCTGCATATAATCTATAATCAATGCACTTAACTTAAAGCTTTAAGTTTTAGTAACCCCACTTAGATTTTGTTTATAAAACAAACACACACAAGCACACTTCCTAGAGTGCAAAATGCTTAAATATTTCAATGACAGAACTCCACATGTAGTTTTTGGAACAGTAACCCTTTTGTTCTTAGAGTCAACTTCTTCCTTGTCATCGCATCCATTGCCAGCAACGGTTGCATTACAACTAACCAAAGAGTGCAGCAAATGCAACTAACCAAGGAGTGCAGCAAATGCAACAGCAGAAACCTCTGCACTGTTTCTTCAGTTTTTTCCAGAGAACATTGTTCACTTGTATAAACTCATGGTTGGACTCTGATACATGCACATATAAGCATCACAAAGCAGTCTTCGTGCACAGCCTTGAATCTTCCTGGAATCCAGTGAATGCAGTTCTTCCAGAGACATCTTTAGGTATTCACCAACTTCTGGGCATGGAGTAACTTGTGGAATATTAAAACCATTCTGACCTCCTTTTATAAATAAGAGGAAAAAAAAAAAAAGGAGGGGAGAACAGTTTAGAATATCATTGTACGTACATTTACTCTTTCTATGGTACTGTAATCATGACAATATCTCAAATTCTTGAAAATGTCTAAGAAATATACACATGTCATTCTGCACTGTACACTGTACTACTGTAGAGATATTTGTGAAAACTATCATTCAACAGAAACTGCAGTTGTCATCAGAATATCTGATAGTATCTAAAAAATTCAAGCCAGTTAAGTCTGACAGACTTAGCCTTTAAATAATTACCTCAGGATGTGCTTGTTCTAAATGGCACAAAGACTTCAAAGTTTAACAAAGTAACATGCCAAGCATAATTGCTTTACTAATGAAACACAGTCTCTCTGAAATATCCAATTGTGTAAGGAAAAACATAGAAGACATTTAGCCTCTTACATAGGTTTTCTCCGCAAGTTTGCATATTCTACTAGCCAAAAACCCCCAAAGTCCAACAGAACAAGAACACAACACTGAAGTACAACTTTGGGGGAGTGACCTAAATACACACCCTCAAATAACAAGCTTTTTAATAAATTGACAATTGGTAACAGACGATTACTAGCCATTTTCCATATAAAAAGAGCAAATTCAAACCTAAGTATGGATATCCATGATACTGTTCCCCAGCAGATATTTATTTTAGCTTATAGTATCTCACCTAGCTGAAGTAAATCTTGTGATAAAAAATTAAGATCAGAATGAGATATATCCACCAAGTTCCTCATGTGATAAACACTCTTAAAAAAAAAAAAAAAAAAAAAAAAAAAAAAAAAAAGAACCTAAAGGCTTAGACTTAAATCATACATATTTCAAGGACTTCAAAATAAGCTTGATAGCTTTCTGGGTATAGGGAGATGGCAGAGGCCTTAATCCTGTGGCAGTTTCATCCTCAGCAGCAGGAGGCAAGATTCTCCTCCACACCCCAAAGAAATCATGCCACAGAGGAGCTGAAGAATTCTCCATGCAAACAACTCCTACTACGAGCGACAATTGGATCTCTTACTGTTTTTCTCGGGCACTAGAATTGAATAGTGTCCTTATTTCGACTGTTTAATGCAACAGTATCTAAGAGAATACTTGATTTACTGACAGTCCTATTATTACAGGGCAACAATTTTCCACTGCTAACTCTAGTAACTCAAAGGGAGTGGCATTGATTTTGTTATTTTTCTTTTATTCCAATGGAGTCATTTAAGCAAAGCTATAGAAAAAAAAATATTTGCATGCTATGTGATAATTGCACACATCCACTTAAGCATGTACTGAAAGAACGTTCCTGCAGCTCTGTATTTAAAATCTCTGCCAAAGTTGTAAGGTATAGAAGGATGCACGGAGTAATGCATTCTTTACTGCACTTACTCTGTACTTACGAGGCATCTAATCTAGGAATTCAGACCATGCAAATTAGGGGCTCCTATGGGATCAATATACTGAGGAAAGGATGGGTTAGATTACTGTCCCTACATCAAATGCTTAACTTTTAAGTGATATTAATATCCCCAAATTAATATCCCCAAATTTTAAAAGTAGGCAGGGTTTAAAATAATAAAACAGGAAAAACTTTAAGTGAAAATTAGTAAGAGAATAAACATCTAACCATCCCGATCAGCCATGCTGTCAAAGAAGAGCCAGGCAGAGTCATCCCGCCCGTATTTCACGAAAGCAACGTAGTGGCTTGTTTCTATGCAGAGAACAGCAAACAACTCCATCTTCTGGTGTGGGATGCAACCGTGTCGCCAATCCCAGTCTGGCAGATCTTTAGGAAGTGACAACGGATTGAATTTATGACTCTGTCTCTTGGGATGAAGATGAACCTACAAGTGAAGCAATATTTCAGAAGATAAACAAAACACAGGTTTATTTGTTTCAGTGGAGACAAAGCTAAAGAGCATAGCACTGCTGAATTAAAGATTAATGACATCGGAGATGGAGCTGCAACAACAGTAGCAAACGTTTCTTCTTTCTTCATTTCCCCTCCCCTAGCACAGTTCAATACAGCCCAGAAAAGTCAGAAGGGAGGTCAGATTTAATGCAGCAATTTTCTGCTATGCTCAGACTTCAAAACAAACCACTCCTCTGGTAGTTTCATGCATTTTATCAAATAGCTTTAAACATTAAATAGTTATATGTCATAAATTTACTGATTCAAGACAGCATGTGTGTCAATGGTGATTTTTAAGCTGCTTGCTCTTACTGCTTCTCCACTGTACTCTGTGCTAGATATGGCAGTTGCCATGTCAATAGTAAGAGAGTATTGACAAAGGCAGTGGAGGGACAAGCAGAAATCTTGACTTGACTGAAGGCTACGCTTTACTAGGCAGACAGTTGTAGTAGCACCGGTGAGAAACTATGCTCATAGCCACTCTTACATCTTCCTTTGGCTTGTTACACTATGCACCATGGGCTTAAACCCAAGCAGACCACAGACAACTTACTTGGGTGTTGCAGGTTTTGCAGAACTGCTTGATTTTTCCAGCAGAAATATCAGTATCTTCGTAGCATTCTCTGCACTCATACATAGCAAGCCCTCCGCATATGCGGCACTGCCTGGGAGCTGCATTGTTAAACAGGGTGTTAGTCTCCAGCCTTTGTTCTCTTTTGCTTTGTTTTTTGTTTTGTTTAAGGAGAGGAGTGGGAAAGGAGTGCAAATTAATACTTCAAATATAGACAAAGAGTCCTAAATTAAAACATCTTAAAACTAGATTGCCCAGCAAAGCAGAAATGTACCCTCAGGTGACCTAATTTCTTCCATTAAATAATGTAGAAAAAGAAATAATGATAAGCATTAAGTTCTATTAGATAGATGTAACAAGTAAAAATAGGCTTTTCAAATCAACTTAGTTCTGTCATATCATACTGGTATAGTTACCTCAACTTTTCTGTCTATGAACACCAGCAAGCAAATAAATAGCATAAACTGGTGAAAAAGCCATTCCATAGCTTAGATGACGAGTATTCTAATTACAGCACTTTTATTAACTCCTATCTCAAATTTAAAGCCGAATATTTTTACTTAGAAATACCATGAACAAAAATAAACAAAAAAAAGCAGAACTGGGAATTAATCCGTTTTGTTCAATGGCAATTGCAAGAGCTAGGCATTTAGGTCTGCCAGTATAAATTAAGATGACATTTTATCTTAGTTTTCCCTTAAACTAAGGGAAAACCCTACCTCTGCACAATGAAAGTTCACACAATCTCAGTTCCATTATACTTTAAAGTAGTATTTTTTTCAACTAACAGCAAAAACAGTATAGACATGCAGTGCAAACTGATGAAGTCTAATGAAACAGAGTCAACATGAAGTCCCCATTAACCAACCCGGCTGCTAATCCTTGTCTTTAGATTTACTTATTCCCATTTAATGAATCATTTCTGATCAATTCCATCAACCTTGTCTTGCAATAACAAGTGTTTTATATAGACCACGTATATATGATCAGGCAAATTATATTCTATACACTCTTCTGAATTACAGCTTTTAATTAACAAGAGGAAGAGAACACAAAGTTTACTGTTCAGAGTAATTCCTCCTCAGAGCCTTGTATTTAGCAGCACTATTAGTAAAATATAAAGGAAAACACAGCAGTACTTACTCTAAGTCACTTTCAGCAACTCACTTTCAATACATATTGCAATGTTATACTTACTATCTTCAAGTAAGTCTGTTATATTTAATTCCAGAGAGGGAAAAATCTTGTTGAACATTTTGAAGTCTTTCCCAAATCGAGGCATCTGAATAATCAGGCAAGAAGGTGCCTACGTAAAATGCCAGAATATGATGTAATGAAGTAGATGTTATCTAAAATCACAGAGCTTTACAGGTAAGCCTATTACCACCATCACGCTACTTCAACTTTGTAGCCCATTGACTTTAAAATTAATGATACAGTAAGAGCAAAACAAATTTAGATCTTTGAAACCATAATTAAAAAGAGCAGGAAAATAAAATCCATTGTCAAATTTAATAAAGTCTAATCATGCTTGAGCTGAATTGCTTTTGTCTGCTTCGCCAAAGGAATCCTATCATTAAGTCAACATTAAAATATATTTATAACATAGGCAACCTGTACCACTGACCTTCTACTTCCATTTCCAACTCTCTTCACACCAAATCCCATTTTCATCCCACTGCCATCATCTTTTCTAGAATTATGACGTAAAATGCAAAGTAGCTGCTGTCACCAACCTCTGCAAACTTCAAGTTGCTGTTAATGAAAGACCATTCCAGTAACTGCTGAATTGTCGGGACTCCAACTTTCTCATTTTTGTCCATGAAAATTTGATAGAAGTAACAGTCTTGTACCTTCTGACCAGCTGATCTAAAAACAGATTAAAGATTCAGATTTTTGCAAATCTACTCTAACAGCTGTATTCAATTCAATTCAACAGCTGTAAATAACATCATCTACCAGAAAAATCTATCACACAGCCTCTGCACAGATCCTTGACACCCAATATCTTCTCCACTTTGACCTAGCCCCTTTCCTGAACTGCTAATAGGGAAGAGCAAAGGCTCTCAACTGGACAGTAGTAGAGCAGGGTTCTGTCCAGGCTCAGGGTCATTTTCATGAGCTTTCAGACAACCAGCAGAGCAAAACCACCAACAGTAACCACAATTATCATTAAGATCTATGGTGTTACTTTACTACAGCAAATCTTATTTGCCACATAAATCACAAGTCAAAGGCATTCAACACAGAAGGTTGGAGCCTTTCACTCTTCATCAGCCTCTACACATAAATTCACTTTTTAAATTCAACAACAAGAAAGTCACCTTATTTTCAACAGAGGCTCAACTCTTAGAATATGGTGAAATAAAATATTCAAAAATTCTTCTGGATCTGGGGAAAAAAATAAAGTCTTGTTAACATAGAAAAACAGCTTTCAATGCAATTTAAAATGCATTTTTTTACTTTAATGAAAGTTTTATGTTAACAGGAAGAAGAATTTTTCTAAAGCTTCAGTAGCGTCGTAAAGTTATAACAAATTATGAGTGCGTTCATGACAATCTCCATTTAAGCTACAGGCTGAACTTGATAACAAAGCTTGCCAATTAAGGTTAAGAAAGATGCTCTGTAGTTCAGAGGAATCACTTGGCACCACAGAACTTTTTCCAGAAGAAAAAGCACTCAAAACAGTATAATTGCAAAGAAGATAAGGATTAGTGACAGTAACACTTGAATTGTGTAATACAGTGTATCTTCCTCCATCTGAACTAGCGACTGAGCTCTCTGGTCAAGAATGCAGCAAACACTAAGCTCCCCAGAGGCCTATTCTGCCCTAACACAAAGTTTTCTGGCACATTTCTCTTTCTGCCACTAACTGCAATAAATATTGTTTCCTAGTATTTAGCTTTTTACAAAGAACCTAATGTTCTTCTCCCAGACAAAAAAAACAGCTACATAATACAATGATAATTAATCACATGCAGCAGAAGATCAAAAGGTTAGTATTTTAATTTTTCTAATGTGACTTTCTTATTTCTTAAATCACTACACAGAAACTGCGATGAAGAAATGCCCATTCCTCAGAGAACAAAATGTCATTCCAGAAAAAAAAATTTTAAGAGCCTTCATTTGTGAAGAGAAGCCTTAGATCTCCCCTAGGTACTAGAAGGGGGTTTCTTTTTACAGCGAGCAACAGGTTGTTGCTGCTGAAACTGGGCAGCTTCCTCACACTCCCAAGGTCACAGAAAAGAGCTTCTTAATACCCAGGGTTCACTCAGGTCTCTGGCAGGAAGATTATTGCTATAAAGAAATATTTGTATGTTTTGTATTGGAATAATATAGAAAGTATTTCAGTTGCTTCTTAGTACAATTCTTACAAATCTCAAAAAGAAAACCTCCCATTACCTTTTTCTTCTGAAGTAAATCCTGATGCAGCCTCAACTTTTTCAAGGATTTTCCTCAGTTTCATTATTTTTGTAGCACAGACATATCCATATCTAAAATAAATGGTTCAATAAGCTATTAATTAGCTTCCAACCAAACCAGAAAAGCAGGAAAATAGTTTCCTGCTTTTAGGAAAATAAAACTTAATATTTATATTAATATAAAACTTAATATTAATATAAACTTAATATTAATATAAAACTTAATATTTATATTAATATTAATATAAATAGGAAAATAAAACTTAATCAAATGCCAAAACAGGCTCTCGGATCCTTCTTTAACTGTGAACAGTAGCTACATACTGATTCTGGTTTCCCAAGAGCACCACAAAGAGTGCAGCAGTCAGTGTTCTTGCAAAAATTTCAAAAGCTTTTTCTAAAAACAACTGTTTTCTGATTAGTCAGCTACACAATATACTTTTGCAAATTATTCATTCTTGCAAAAAAAATATAGATTGATTTTTGTTTTCACAAACATGCACAGCTTAATACCACTTCCAGGTGGCGTATATCATAGCAGAACTGCAGAAGTCATTCATATTTGCATCACAACTTTTTATCAGTGCCTTTGTATTCATACCTATAGACATTTTACAATAGCTTCACGCCAACTCCATTCATAAACAAATGCTAATAGAAATGCTTAAATATTAAAACTGAGTAATTAATTCCTAATACATTAAGTTTACCATTAAAAACAAGTAAAAACACTCAAAGATACAACAGAGCAGATACACCTAGGGAAATTCTGATTTGTGGCAAGAATGCATACCCAGCAAGATTTGTCATAGTTTTTTTACTAGACCAGAAACTAGCTTATGGTGTTTCACTTACATTCTAAGAGGATTCACAATCTCTGTCCGCAGTAGCTCTTGAGTCTCACTATAATACTCCACATCATTCTTTTCTTTAGGTCTAAGTAACACTGTGTCTAGAACAGAGCTAAAAGAAAACAGGCTGCAAAGAAAAACAAAACAGATAAGTTATCTTGATTCTGGAAGACAGAGCCACTCAAAAGCCTGAGTTGTATGAAATAAATCAACTAAAGGCACAGGAACACCAAAGAATTAAATAAGCTGTAAGGGAGGTCATTAAAGAGGACAGCACCACTGCACAACACAGCAAGGGTCCAGTCGCTCAGCACCCTTTCTCCAACAGCCAAGGAAAGCAAACGTACAGGAAAGGCTAAGAACAAGTGCAAGAGATGCCTCTCCCTCCCTCAGGCCTCTCATCCCTCAGCTAGGTGCAGCTCACAAACTCCTGCAGTCAAGAAGTGCACAGATCCACGTGGCCAAGACAGTCAGGACACCGTCTGCAGCACGTAACACAGAGTTATCCAAACTGAAAGAGCCTAGTACCAAGGATTACTGTTCATAAGATGCACAATAATAATAAAGACAGTCACTAAAAGCTGTGTGTTCTGCATTTCGTGCATTCCCCCCACTCACTCACACCCTGGGAAGGTACTATACAAATCATGAACTTACCAGAATAAAGTGGAGTCTAAGTAACAGGAGTTGTAATGACCCTGGATACCCTTCTTCTTTCCAATCATTGTCTCTAAACCTTCTTTCTCCATTTTTGGAGGAGTGTTTTCTTCTACCACTTCACTTAAGTATCCTCCAAAAGCTGAAAAAAAATTAAAAGACACTTTAAAGCCTCAAACTTCATTCTCTAGGATTTTCCTACTAGTGTTTTAGGGCCAGGTGCTGTCTTATTGCAAAGCATACATTTTCCAGACTAGAAAAAAAGCATTTATTGTAACTGAGACTCATTTCCTTATCAAGAGGGCATTACATTTCACTGGCAAGGCACATAAGGAGTGCACAGAAATTCTGCAGCCCTGAAGGAGGTTTCATCCAGCGGGAATGAAGCTCAGCCATTTTAAGTGCTTCGATTACACTACCTTACAAGTACAGAGAAACTTCTTCCTTTGCTGTTGACAGTAGGACAAGATCCCCAAAATCTAAAACATTTCCAGTTAGAAACAATTCAAATTTCCATCACTAACCTCCACCACAAATACACATTTTTCTACTTTGATATTTAAGGAAAAAGTCATCTGACATTATAGAAAAATACCTGCCTTTTTTCTCTGAAATTGCAATCATTTAATGATAGAGCTGCAGTGGCATTTTTTGACAAAATTGCTCTACTCCTTAATTTTATGAAGCTTAAACATTTGGATACTTTCTTGTTTAAATGTATAAACAAGTAATTCACAGAAGTGTTACGTTCTATGGAGACTGATCTACTCAATCTTATGTAAGAAATACCTGTACAGACTTCCAACTGCTCAATATTACTGAGTTCATATGGCAGGAATAATTTAAACTAAAACTCTATGTCAGTTCCCAGGTGATAAACAATGAAGAACAAATTCATTACCTAGAGAGTTGCAGCGTTCAATCTGGTTGGAAACTGGCTGCAGGGAGGCAAACCTGGAATCTGGCCTGCAGCTTTTGAGTTTAACAAAAAGAGCTTTCTTTGGAGCACAGGTGAAGTATCGCGTTCCTTTAAATGTTCCATCTGTACAACCTGCACATTCATCTTCCTGAAAAGGGAAAGTTCATTATTTTTCTTCTTTCTAGAACTCTCATGAGAGGTTTCATAAAATTGCTAGCCATAAGTCATCCTTCAGTTATTCTCAAGTTCAATACACAGTGTTTCTACACAAGGCTTCAACTGAGGTGTTCTTTAGCTTGCTTTATTGAGAAGATCATGAAGATGATCATGAAGAAGATACACTTCTTCACATGTACTTTTCCTTACATAAAGAAAACAAAATAACATTTAAATTTTTGTGTAAGAGAAAACTTGTAGGGGGTGAAAAAAAAGGAAAGTGACAATTAGAGCAGGGGGTGTTTTATACAGATCCACAGCTCACAGAGCATTTGTAAGAAGCAAGCAATGGATGAACTTGAGTATTTTTTCAACACACTTTATGAGCTGAGCAAAGGACACTTCTTTAAAGCGACTAAGAGTGACTAATTACACAAATTCAATTAATTTGACACAAGCCCATCTTAGAATAGGACCTGATGCAATCACAAAAAAGATAAAGTTCATTTAAAGTTTTATCTAGGTTATGAGCAGATTGTAGGACAAAGTGCTTAAATTCCATCAGACTTTTGCAGAGTAAACAGAGTCCACTTCTCAGATACAAAACTAATGATACAGCTAATTAATAAAACTATGATATTTCAGATTATATTTACCAGTTCCAGCCCAGCTAACACTTCATTTACTCCAGGGGGCTGGCCAATCCATCGGATTACTCCATAGAAAGGAGGATTTTCTTTAACCTCTGCCAGTGAACCTGCTTCAAGACCATGCGAGTTGCTGATGGGACCTGCGGCTGATGGACTCTCCTGGTTCGCTGTAGTATTTACATCTCCTATGACTGACTGAACAGATAGAGAGAGGGGACTGTGTCCAATTGCGCCGTTAGTGCTCGTGGTTTTTGTCAAGCTGAAAGGAAGGGAGTGAAATCTGTTTTCTGTAGACACAGAGCTTGTTAAAGGTGGCTGCAGAGGTGGTGAGGAATGCCCAAATCCCGGAGAAGAATCCGTGAGCGATTTTGCAGGGTCTTCAGCAACTGTTAAAGAAACAAAATAAGATGTTAACTAAGTTTGCCCTCCCCTCCGCTAGCAGCTGTCAAACAGTATCTGTAAAAATAACTAAGAACTGAAGAATAAGAATAAAGAACTTCCTTACAGTGAGAGTGACAGAGCCCTGGAACAGGCTGCCCAGAGATATTTTGGAGTCTCCTTCTCTGGAGGTCTTCAAATCCTGCCTGGATGCCACCCTGTTCCCCATGCTCTGGGTGTCCCTGCTGGAGCAGGGGGTTTGGACTAGATGATCTCCAGAGGTCTCTTCCAACCTCAACCATTCTGTGGTTTTGTGATTCTGTGTAACCATAATTCTTCCATTGGTTACTTTAGGAAGCAAGGAAAATAACTTTTCTAACACAAGTTTTGAGGTGCTAACCAGAACTTATGGGAAAGTTTAGATCAAAAACAGATTCTTCTTTCTTCTTTAACCTCATGCCATAATTTTGTTTGAACACAAGCTAATAACTCCCAAGCATTAACACTGTATTAGGCAAAACAACTGAAAAATCAGCGGTCAGTGTGATTTGAGAAAGGACTTGGCTCACATCTTGTACAAAGATGAGTAATTGCTTGCAGACTTGACATGAAACTGGAAAAGTACTTATCCCCACTGGCTGTAGCACAGGATACTTTGGTTCTAGCACAAGGAATCTGTCAGTACCCATACAGAATAAAGGATTTAAATAAGTCATGACTAATACAGTGCTTGATAAATGAGATCACAACTAGATGTGCGAGCACAAATGCTTTTTATCTTCTCTCATCTCTCTGAATGGTCTATAATAAACAACTGGTATTTACAGAGCAAGTAGCCTCTACTTTATTACCTTCTCTCCCCATACTGTTCTATAAATTGAAGCTAGTATCTACATATTGAAAAATAAACACATACTCCTCACTTTCACATTCCTTTCTACAAATGATACTTTCCTTGTTCATTTCAAATATTATTATAACAAACTAATTTTTAAACTGAGTTCCAAGCTTAACATTTTTTTAGGCAACCAAGACCAGTTTAAATCCATTTTCTTTTATGGCTTCTGAAATTCAGGGGCTACTACCACTATGTTTCCATAATAAATTAGTATTATTTCAGTTTAGTATTTGCTCCCCTTGGTCACAGAGCCAACTAGCCACACTTTGGAAAAGCAACAAAAAAAAAAAACCACTGCATTGGATCTGGAAGCAAACCAAGGTGTCCCAAAAGCATCAGTAAACACATACTTGTGCTGCACATAAGGATTTAGTTATTCAAAGTTATTTTATAGAAATGACTTCTTTAGAAGTTTATATGTATATATATCGTATATATATCGTATATATATCGTATATATATCGTATATATCTTTTATATATATATATATATATATATATATGATTTGACTCATATTTTAATTCCCTCCAGGCTGATCAATTGACATGGCAGAACATCAAAATTCCCTTAGATCTGTAACATTAACTATAAGACAGTATAAAATCACACTATAGGCTTGGAAGGAAGACTTGGAAATAACATGCTTCAGCTTTCTGCCTGCAAGACACCTACATTCCCCACAGAGCTACGCATGTTTCCAAGAATGTAATCTACTATGTGCAGGATAAAAAACAAGAGGTCTGTTAACCAATACAAAAAGTATGTTTTCGTGAGGCATATGTACGATTCAGTACAATGCCTGCCAGGAAGCTACACTCCAACTGTTTCTCTTTTTAAACTCCTATCTGTTTTATTTAAAGAACAAATGCTGAATGATATTTTTTGAAAGTACGTGTCTATATAAAAGGTTTTAATCTCTTATTACCTTCATCAATATACCATGGAGGTTTTGTTTTCATTTGAGGCTGAGAATCAACTGATGAGCCATTTAACGTATAGAAGACTTCAGATCTGTTTCTATTCCCAGGTTCAGAGGTAGATCCTAGAAAACAGAGCATATTTTACTGAAGATACACATCTCCACTTAGAAAGTGATAGCGAGGGTCATATTCCATAATTTAAATTTGTTAATGTACTTTGAAATCAGACAGGAAGCTTTACATCAGACAGGATGTAAAGCTTTCCACCTTTCCACCAGACAGGAAGCTTTACATCAAAGGTAACAGTACTAAGTTTGCAAAAAGATAGTGGCTTATCCTAAAACTGGATAATTCTCAGGAATCAAAAAAACAAGGCAGGAAATACCTTTGAGGGTTAAATTCCTCTTCATTAGTAATAAATTATGGACATAAAGCAGTGTGAAATATAGTTTACAGTGAACATTTTAAACTTCATTTTCAAGACAAATTGTTTCAGAGCAACCAGACTACAGACCCATTCCACATGGCTACATGTGCCAGTACATAACCAGCCACAGCTCCTTCAGCAAAGACCATCTCTTGTCAATAACGCCAGAATGGAACAAAGGTTTACAGAGTCATTTGTATTCTATAATGCAAAAAAGCCACTGAACTTTTAAAATATTATTTCCTTCCAGTTCTTCCCACTTTCCTCCATCCCCAATTTGAAGCATTTTCAAAGCTAGCCAAAACAGGGTCATCAGAAAGTTTCTATTTCAGGAAATTTGATATTGGTTTTCAATATTTCGATTGAAATCAGTATTGGAATTGGATGTACTAGGCAACCAAGTACCATATCCTTAATCTTTCAGTGAGCTTCCAGCTGGGTTTTATGAACATGGAAGATGTTTTGAGTAGTCTTGACTTCTGCTTGTACTTTAACAGAATATGAGAACTGCCTCCCAGGTTTGTAATGACAAAAGAAGTGCTTTCACCATCTCAGAAATTTAACTTGATATGTTACAAAAGGATAAAAGTGTTAGAAAACAAAAGGCTACATTTTTCTTCAAACAACAGAAATCTGTAATCAAACACATTCAAAGAAAATTGCTTCTCATACATACCTGTAGCTTTTGGCTTACTATGATTGAACAAGCTTTTGTCACCACCACCCCTGGAGGTATAGGCAAGTTTGGGAGGCCTCCTGTCCTGGGACATGGTTTCTAAGACATGATGTATGCATAAGATATTAATAAAGCAGAGAAAAGGAAAACTATGTCAGAGAAATTTTACTTGAAATTCAATTGGATCTGGTATGACAAATTTCAAAACTGGGTGGGGCAAAATCCGTTCTGGTAGGTAACATACATTTTCTGTCTCTAGGTAGGAAATACTTCTATCACATCAGCAACTACTTAGGTTTACCTCTTAAGTACTACTTAAGTATCTTTTAAAATGAACAAATTAAATAGACTACAAGTTCTTTGATGTACGTTCAATGCTTCCAATACTGGAAACAAAGGCATGAAGTTCTGATTTTTTTTTTTCCAAACCCAATACAGTTATAGCAAATACTCTTTTTCCCAACAACAGAGGAGTTCCATGAATTCTCCATAGCAAAGATAACCCAAAAAATGCATCTCTGCTAAAGCAAACAAGAGATACGTAAAAAGGCAATTACAGAAGCACTGAGCACATGTAATATTTCACACTGCACCCTTCTCAGTCTGAATGTAATCAGAAAGAAAAGCTGGCCAGACTGAAGAGACCCCAAGCAGCCTGTCTGAAGCACCCTCGTGCTACAAGCTAATACCACTCACTGAATATTTCTGAAGAATTTGTGCACAGTCTCATTACAGATTTCTCATGAACAGTTTGAGTGTTCACTTTCAAATGCATAGTATCACTAAGCTGCATAAAATGCATAAATATCATCAAAATGTTCATTTCTAAACCACAGCTTTCCCAGCCAAGATAATGCAAATTCCTTGAATAAATGGAATGTCATTCAAGAGTAGCGATTCCTGCTCTAGACACCAGAACACTGGTATTCTGAAAACTGCCATTAATATTGTTCTATATTAAATCCTTCCCCCAAGTAAGATTGTGGTCAAGAGAAATAGAAACTGAAGAGAAACATCAAAAAAATAGATAAAAGTAATTGAAGTGAATTTAAAATGCTATTATCCCACAGTATTCTTTCAGTCATGTAGCAATGTCCAGGTTAAGTTGTTCATTATCAAAGCTTTCAGGTCAAGAAAGTGGGTAATACCTGGTATAACATCATTAATGTGCAGAAGGAGTGTACTTTCAACACTCGCAAAACTGCACAGCTGTATTCCGTTATATCTTCCATCCCAGTTTCCAATAGGATTATCCTAAAAATAAATAAAGGAAATCATACACATTTCCCAAGATTTGCCTCTTACAGAATGCACATATACAATTTGAGGAAAACATCTGAGTATGGTAAAAAATAAGAAACAAAAGGTTTACCAGTGACTAATTTTTCCTGTAATGAATTTTGTGTTTAGAACAGTGTCAAACATTATACTTCTTTAAAAATTTCAAAAATAAAAATGTATTTTTAAATTACTTCCTACTTTAATAAGCATTCAACTAAAATGCATCAATTGTAAAATACATAAACAGTTCCAGTGTGTTCCTACTACCACAATCAAGAAAATGTACGCATCTAATCTACAAAAAAGCCATACATAAAACAACTCACACCTTCAACTTGCAAGAATTTGGCACTGCATTTCAAAAATCCCCTAGATTCTAGAAATAATTTTAAATTACAATTAAATTTCTCATATTCTAGAAAAATTAGATGTTGTTCTTAAACTCTGCAACTTTACAATGGAACAGTCACACGAACTGAACAGTTGCCTAAAAAAAAAAAAAAAAAAAAAAAAAAAAAAAAAAAGGATTTCAGCCAAAAAAAAAAAAAAAAAAAAAAAAAAAAAAAAAGAGTAAGACAAAGCCAGTCTCACAAGACAAACATTCAGCTCTATTGAAGACTTGAAGACTGACATCTAACATTGCAGGTAGCTCAGTGGAGGCTCCTCTGAGTAACCAGAGCATTTCTCCTAAGACATCAAATAGGACCCTATTTGCCTGAGGTCAAAAACAATTCAAACAACTACCAGAGGACATTTTGAATACAAGTCTTTGTTTCCCATTTTGGTATTAGCCTCCACTGAAGTAGCTTGTGAATAATGTCTCTTCTTCTATATTGCGTGTAATTTACTAGCTAACAGACATGCAAAAAAATTATTAATGTCAGATCATTTTCTTACCATGTCCACTCCAACAACGTATCCTAAACTTTCGTTTCCTGGTAAGACATCACAGAATATAACTGTCCCATACTCTATACTCTCTCCTATCTTCAGAGAAACCCTGGAGTTGATCTCCAGAGGAGGAAGTTCTACCTGCATAGTGTCAACTGGAGCTGCATAATCACTTTCCAGTTCATTGTCATCATCTTCCACCAGCTCCAGTTTGTCCAAAGCAACAAAAACCCCACAGTCCTCATCACATCTGAAAAGCTGCTTGCCTTGGTACTGTCCATCCGTAAAGCCTTGGCCACGACCTTCTTCCTAAGTGTCAGAGGGAGAAGCAAAAAACCCACACAGTGTATTTGTGCACAAGTAGGTTGGTATAAAAAACAGTGGTATAGGCCTTGGGTTTGCAGAAATCACAGTAAGCATATGTTGGCAAATTATCATCAGAAAATAAGAATTTGTGGTAAAAGTACATCTTACCTAGATGACAAATTGCAAGATACCATTTGACCCAAGAGTAGCTGCAGAGAGAAGGCTCTCCCTACCCATACTTGGGCAAACATGCTGCTAAGTCCTGCCTCCATCATGTAATCATTGGGCAAGACTACTTTGCACTAGACATGAATCCCAAGCATGCAAAAATCCCCCTCAAATACCAAATACCCCCTCAAATACCAAATAAGGGGAAGAGATTTTCAGAAGTGCTCAGGCATGAGAGCCCCTAAGGTTTTTAATGGGAATTCCTGAGAATTTGCAAAAGATTTAAAGAGGACTTTGAAAAATATACTCATATATATAGAGAGGGAGCGAGAGAGAATATATATATATATATATTCCTAATGCAAAAGTGGCACTCTGCTGAATCTCCTGTATGCTAGAATAGACATTAGTAGTGACAGAAACATCTCACTGGGAGCACGCAACAGATCCATTCTGTAATCTTAACTAATGGTCATTTAATCTCCAGGACTCTAAAAAAAACCCCAGCAACCTCAAAAATGTAAATCTAGATACTTGGATGCCATCCTGTATGTTCATCACTGCCACATGTCGGGAAACCCCAAATCCGCAACCCCTTTGCATAAGGGATTTCACAGGAGGATATTTGCTGTGCTCAAATATATTTAGTAACAGAGAATATTTGTGAAAATTCTAAAGATTACATAAAGATTACATAAAGATTATACAGATTTATCAGCAAGAAACTTACCAGCAGCTCTACTCCAAAGTATATCCCTGTTAGAGACCTTTCTTGCAACAAGGGTCCTCTGAAGCGAACAACTCCAGGAAATTTGTCATCTCCTGATCTCAGCTGTACTCTAACAGTTGAGCCAATATCTATTTGGACACCTTTAGTTAATCTGTTCTTGCTTTTAAACAGGCTGTACCTTTCCTCACAGTTAGTAATGGCCAAAAGCAATTCAGCTAATTTTTCATTTATTTCTATAACATCCTTTTCATCCACAAACAGGATTGCATGTGGTTGTTCCAGAATCTTTAATCCAATCTGTAATTTCTTGCCTTTACAAGGAATGTTTCTGGAGTGCCCCAAGGAAGAACGGTCTTGAAAAAACTGCCCTATGCTACCTTTGGGCACTTTCAAGAGCTTTTGAGTCTGCTTGTCTATGACACTGCATTCCTGGAGAAGCAAGTAAAAGATTCGCTCTTCCCAATAGGATGAACTTGCTTTCTCTTGACTCCATAAACCCGAATTCATTGTGATTAAAACTTTAACAGTTGTGTAGATGCTTCCAAGAATGGTCAGGGAAGAAAAAAAAAAAAAAAAAAGAGTAGCTGTTGATCTATTTGCACTGAATTCTAGTGGAGGGTCCAGTCTTTGTTTATTGATTCGTTATTCATTTTGAAAAGAATCAAATCCAGAGCAGAAAGCCTAGAATAAACAAAAATGAAGTTAATACTAAGTTGAGAGAACTATAGTTAGATCTAAGTAGAACAGAAAAAAATCAAACTTAGGAATAGCACTACTCATACACTGTAAAAATACTTCAGCAAGATCTGGCACAGAATAGAGTCTCATAACAACTAAAGTTTTGTGGATCGTGCGCACACTCATTCCTACTTATTCTTGTTTTTGCACTTTTACCATTTTTAGTTTCGGGAAGCAAGGTGCTACAAGAAAGCTGCAACGAACTGCAATGAAATAGAACAACCATTTGCAAGTGTTAAAAAAAAGCCAGAAAGCTTGATTTCCAATGAACAATAAAAATATTTTTCTCGAGTTTACAAACAGCATTGTATGGTATGAAGGCTTCCTGCTATGAAGATCTTTTCCCATCTCTAAAGACCATCCAATGACTATCCATTTCTGCCAAAGCATACTGCATCTCTCATCCTAGGTATAACATTTTAGCGTATTGATGTAAAAAACCATGACTGTAATAGAGGATCAGAAAATGGAAAGCTGGGGATTTAAATTGCTTCTTTAAATAACATAAATACGTTATTCCAAGCTTCTGCACTGCAACATCCAACAATTTTGATAACAGACACGGAAGCTTCACTTTTTTACTATGTTAGAATGATAGGAAATATATCAGCTTCAGATACACAAATACTGGAAAAAAAAATCTTAGTGAACTGTCAGCCTAAGAATTACAGGTCACAATCACTAACTAAACATGAACAAGTTAACAATGTCATTGCTCGTAGCACATGATATGCAAGAGGAAAAAAGAAAAAACTGGGTATAGAAAGAAAAATGCAGTGCTTTAACAGCATTTGTTTTTCCTTAGAAAAGATGTGAAAGAGCATTACACAAACTAAGAACATATTCTCAGTTAAGCTGCCCTATTACTGTTTTATCTTCAGCACATTAAAAGCAAATACTCTTTTTTGCCTCTTCCTGTTACCCTCAACCCCCAAATCTTCTCTTTGACAACATTAGGTCAAATATCACATCTTTTGCTAGACTCCCTACTCAGTTTCCTTCAACCTCCAGAAGCTATTGAGAAGTAAAGGCAGTCAATCACATTCTATTTCCATGTCCTGGTCAAAGAGAATGTAAGAACACTTTCCCAAACAACAGTAGTAACAGCTTCAGAGGATTTAGAAATTGTTACATTTTTCAGTCCTTAGGGATTCAAATATTTCCATGCTGAACTACAAAGCCTCCCACTGACATTCTTGTACAATGTAGCAATTCAAATCCTCAATGTGCATCGGCCTTCCCATCTTCACAGACCTTACACATGTGCATCATGCTAATACTGCAACAACTTGTAGAATCAATGTGCTTTAAAACATCTGCATTTTCAAAATAATATGCATCAGAGACTCAGCATTTGGACAGTTTCAGATGCTTAAGATAAAGTGTGGTAAAAAGACTGTTGAACTGTTAATGATAAATTATGATAAGCATGTCTGCTCAGATACTAAGAATCAAGCTTTACTCTTTATTTCTCCCCCCACACACTGCTTTCTCCAGACAAAGGAGGGCTGGGCAGGGGATACCACTCTGTTCTTCACAGGTGCCTCTTATGTTCTCTTCTTTCAAAAGCCCTTAACCCCCCTCTTTTGCAGGCCATTCTGCACACTTAAACACCTGGCGTAACAGGGGTCATGGCCTCACTCATTTCATCAGCAGATGCAATGCATTTACACCTGAAGAGCATGTATGAAAGCAAGATATTCATAGGAAAGCTTAAACAAAAAGACAAATACATCAAGAGCATCTTTCCTTGCAGCTAGCAAAAAATAAAGTTACAGGCTGCTTGCTGGCCCCCTGCTGCAATGTTACATAATCTTAATGTGCTTAGCAGTGATAAATTCAGTGGAAAAATGTTAACAGCTGCAAATAGATTATATAATGATAACTTTATAATGCCTTTGGTCAGCTTTTCAAAACTGTGGTCCTCCACAGCAACGTTAAGTCACTAAATGCAGTACCAGAAGTTCTTCCATTACAACAGCAAGGTCTACTACATAAAGCTTTCCCTTAGCAACTTATTTACCACCCATTTCCACCCCCAGGACATGCTAGTTACTTTGCACAGACCTAACTAAAACCTTTTTGTTTTTGTAGTCCTGCAAGAAATAAGTTAGTACCACAACAGTAAAAAAAAACTTGCTGAAAAGGATGCCAACTTCTATTACAGGCAGAAATTCACACAAAAAGTGCCACTGATTTTAAGCTATTTTTACAGTATTATTAATGAAATTGCTTATACTGTGAGTTAAGTACATCCAGATTCCTGGGCCCCAGTACTCTGGCAACACATACTAGCAGATAAAGTCCAGAAAATGCTATCAGGCCTCAGTACTAGCATAGGAACTAAGCAAACTAGCAACAAGTTATCATTACCTTGCTCAGCTTAACAGTGACTATAAAGCCTCCTGCTCTACCTCCTTTCTAAAATACTTGTAAGCCCCAAAGATTTTGTTAAGTAACAGGTATAGCACCTATGGCTGTGACTGCAAACAGAGCCAGACACAGCCCATGATAAACCGCCCCACTTCAAAGCCTCCCTTGCTTCCTTTTTTGCCCTGCTCCAGTCTGTGCCATCTCCTCGGTGGGTCACCTCCCCGGGGTTTGGTCTGAAACACGAGCATTTGGTGTCTGTCCTGCTGTAGCCTCGTATAACCCAAACAGATGCTTGATCCAGCGATCGGGTTTCAACATGAACATGCTCTGTGGCCTTGATTCACAGTATAACACAGAGACCAGAGTATCCTGTCCAAGTTGTTTCTTATGAACTTCTCATTTAAACTACCAAGTTTTAAAAGCCCAACAATATTTTTGAACAGTCCCAAAAAAAAGCATTTTCAAGGGAGTGAAAGTAAACTAATAACAAATAAAGCGTGTTGACACTTAAGTTATGCAGAACTCTATGAATTCAATAAACACTACGAGGGTACAAACATTCTACCTAAGCGGGAAAAAAAAAAAAAAAAAAAAAAAACACCACAGCTGCCCGAAGACGACTCAGGCGTTGCCGGACCGGGCGGCGGGACCAGCCCTTTCCCGGCGGGGCCGTTCGCCGCCCGGCCGCGAGCCCGGGGACGGGCCGGGCTGCGAGCCCAAGGGGCCCCGCGCGCTCCACCCGCCAGCTGGGCAGCCGCGGCGGCGAAGAGCTACGCTGCTGGACACCCCGAAATGCCCCACCCTGGCCCCCATTCTCACAGCTTCCCAGGCTCTTCCAAACGTTCCCGAGTGGCGCTGAAAGCTCCAAGTCGCTGCTCCAGCGGCAGTTACCGGAGGGAATTCACGGCGGGGCCCGCGCTGGCGCCGTCACCGCCTCCTCGGCCCGGCCCGACGCGGCCCACGGATCCCGCCGCCC